TGATCCTGAAAGACGAGGCAATTTGGCTTCTGTGATGGGAATAATGAGAAAAGCATCGTAATGTTGCCAGAGTCCAATTTACAAGATGCAGACAGGAGAAAAGGGGTTTTAGAGAAAGACACTTGGAGGGAAGCAGAAGAAATTAAGGGACAGAACAGACGAGATTTAAAGAGAGTGAGCCATCACCTCTGCGAGAAGGCCTGGTGTGGGTTTTGTGCTCATGTTGAGGTGGCTGCACATTAAGCTGTGCAAATAGAAGTTGTGACTCTACTACCACCCGGCAAGCATGGAGTGGATAACAGGTCCTCTGCCAGAAAGAAAGTGGCACAGAGGGGAGAAGATTCCATCTTTCTGTTTCTAGTGTTTGAGCCTGAAAGTCAGTCTCTCTTGAAGAACAGATTTGCTTTATGGTGACAAAAAGACTTTTAGATATAGAAAACCCTTTGAAAAAGAGCAAGAAAATGAACCTTTTCAGAGGGATAAAAGGAGATGGCAAAAATGACTGCTGGAGATAATGAAAAATGACTGTGAGCAAATAAGTGCACGTGGACCAGCACAGAAGATTTTCTGAAAGAAGTGAATGAAATGATAAGGAAGTGTGAGCATGGAGGAACATTTTCCTCCTCACAGAATTTCAGCAGATGGATGTTTTTCTGCTACTTGGTACTGTCCAGACCCATGATCGACTTCCAGCCTGCAGAATCTTAAACCAGAAGCAACATTTTATACCATCTTTTGCTCATGATCACAGTTCCTCTCTCAGCAATACACGTGTGTGTATGTATGTGTATATATGTATATATATATATATATATATGGCTGGAGGTCTACCATTGTAGTTGGATTATACAGGGTATTTGGCTCATGAACATGTTCGCTCTCCTCTTCTGAACTCTTGTTGTGGATAGTGACAGTCAACTGCTCCCTGCACTTATTTATCTGTACTCTTAGAGCTCCCAGAGGGCCACAAAGAGGAGAAAGTCCACGTACACAGATTGAGACGTATGTCTACCGAGCAGACAGCAAACACTTAGTCAATAGGCAATGGTCTAAAAAGCCCTGCAGCCGTGGAACGAGGGCTGCACAAACACATTCCAAGTGAAAGTTAATGAAGCTTTGCAGCGCGTTTCACTTCCATAATCCAACAGGGATGTTAATCTCTTGTGGGCTAAAACACACAGATACACACACCTACACGTAGAGAGGCGATAATCATGAGATGTGCGTGGGAAGAGAAGAATTCAGTGGCTGCCTCTCATTCTATAATGCAGCTTGCTCGATGAGCTCGTGAAGAAGTTTGCTTTCTCTTTAACTCCCTTGAACCCCACAGTCTGTGTTTTCTTT